CAGAGTGGCTCATTTCAAAGTAGGCTGGAAAGTGGACCACAGAGAAGAATGCCACAGAAATCCACCTTCCAAAAGGCAAGCCCTCACGGCCCATCTTAAGATACCTTCTGTTCACCTGTTTTCTTCAGATTCCTCCCTGCTCTGTTTGTCTCATTTATATTTATGTGCTCTCCCACCCCCACTAAAGATTGAACCCATGTGTATTAGGCAGGCTTTTCTCATGTGCTTATGATGTATCTGATACAGAACCCAAAGATGGATTCACTGAGCTACAGCTGCAGGTCTTTTGCTTTTTTCTCATGTAGAAGATTCCACCAACTGTACCAAATGTTAGAGATAGTTTCTTTCCCTCCTCCTCTTCCTCCCCTCCTTTTCCTCTTCTTCTCGAGATGGGGTCTTGCTATGCAGTCCAAGCTGGCCTTGCTATGTGGTCCAAGTTGGCCTTGCTACATAGTCCATGCTGGCCTCAAATTTTTGCCTCAGCCTCCAAAGTAATGAGATTATAGGCATGTGCTACCATCACTGGTTCTTCTGTATCGAGTTTTGGCAGGTAGTTTTCAATGTAGGGTCACGAAATATTTAGGTAAACTTTTCATTGAAATTTAACTGCCAGTATTTTGAAATTAAAAAAACTGATAAAGTATCCTCCAATAATATGGCAGGCAGAAAATATACCTAATGTAGTCATGATATTTGATGAGATCTGTAAGCAAAGTTTTTAAAGCATAAGCTGAGTGGTAGGCATAGGTAAGTTACTGTAGGAAAACAACCTCAAAATAAGGAAGTAGATATACAGATGGAATTAAAAAGAAGCACAGAATCTAGGATATTTAGGATTGGAAAATTCAGTGGTTTTTTGTCAAATTAAATGTGATTGTTACATACAGCAGTAAAGACAAAAACCAAATGAGCATGGCTTAGAAGCAAAGACCTAACAAAGACAATGACCGCATATTAGACACCTTTTAAGACTTCTGAAGGGGTTAATGTGGTGCTGTTGGCTGAACCAAAGGGTTCCTACAAAGCTTAAGGGAATGAGGAGCTTGATATGCTAAAGACTGACATGAGTCTCTACAAACTAAGTCATGTGTACTCTGCACATCTGTGAATGTCCATTTCTCTAATCTTCTCTTCTGCAGCCTCCAGACTTTATTCCTCTGGTAGCTTCAAATTCAGGTGAACTCTTAATTCCTATACTAAACTTCTCTGAAAATCATGTCATTCTAGTAGAGTCTGTTTTCTGACCAAATCCAGACTAAAACACCTGGCTTCCCCAAAAAGAGAGCCCGAGAGATTAAATCTACTACTGTATTTTATTAGAAGGTACAAGCCAGGCTGGTAAAAGTGAGGAAGAAAGGAAATGAACTTGCTAAAATGGAAAGCAAATGCATACTGAGAGGTTACTGTATAGCTACCACTGCTGTTTCATGAGAAGCCTTGAACAGACATTGTTGAACTCTTGGTGAATATGCTTGTTTACGTACACGGTACATCTCTGAACAAGATGAAGATGGTGCTTCTAAACAATCTACCAGAAGGAAAGAAATTTACCTGACACTGGTAATGCACTGATCCAGTTAGCTTCACTAATTGTCCAGCCTGCATCCCCAGCTCTTCTTACAATCACTAGGGAAGCCCTTTGGTATGGTACCCACAGAGTACAGAAGCGTTGAGATGCACCAGAAATTCTGGGTATGTAGCATAATCGTGCAGCTCTTTGACCCCTTTGGAGGACTCACATAAGCCTGCTGGCCCCCTGTCATACATAAAATGGTAGTTAAGCCAAAGTGGGTGATCAAAGACCCAAGAAATAGTGAAGCTGAGAATCTTCTCATGTGCTTATGATGTATCTGATACAGAATCCAAAGATGGGATCTCTGCCACAGTAAGGCTGTGTAACGAATAAACTTTGGTGGCTTCACAATGGACATTTGTTGCTCACAAGGTGTCAGGAGATCTTGGCTGAGGATCTTTCACCTACTTGGGAGTTGGCTGGTTGGTTGTCAGACCAAACAGGATTCAGCTAGGGTGACAGGGATAACCTTGTTCTGTTCTACGGTGCTTACCCCTGCCAGACCAGCATAACTATGCAACTTTACATGGAGGCAGTAGAAACATCAGAGTGAGAGGAATATAATAGATTTTTGGAAATGCATATCATTCGGTTCATGAGGAGGGTATTTTAAAAGGAAGCTGAAAATGACCATGAATAGAGAGAGCATTTTTGTAGTCTGTCATACCACAGAAAAACAAGTATAGCAAATTCCTTGTTCTAACAGGTATTACCTTCTTTTGCAGACAACTTGAGATTTCATCTGGCTTTAGTTGCAAATTAGTCTTTCTGAATTATGGGCATCATTTTTTCTTTTGCCAGCTGTGAGGTGGGGTTAGTCTTCTTTCTTCTTTTCCTACTCCTTTTATGTTTATTTGGCTTGTAGAGCCAGTTAAATGGCAAAAGATTTTAGCTCAGGAAGTCCAAAGTCAGCCCAAAGAAATTCAACTTTGGCCCTACTTAAATCAATTCAAGCCTCTATATCCAGGGCCAACTTTTAAACACGAAGAAACCCATTTTAATTCCATTCTTATAAAATAATTGTTGAATAAGTAAACCAGTTGGTTTATTTGGCTAACACTATAGAGCTAATGATGTTCAAACCTTGTATCCCTTTTTGTAATCAGCATAATAGTGTTGATCTCAACAAGCCAAACTAAATCAGAACTCCTAGACTGTAGACTAGCTTCTGCTGCTAACTAAACCTACTTGAAATTTTCTTAACCTGTTTGATCTTGTTACCAAATGTATAAAATAAGGAATTTATCTAAAATGCAATATCCCCAGTGCCTATATCCACTGGAAGATAATATGCAAATTCAAGTAAGCTGAAGGCATACTAACTTACGTAAACTTCGGAATGTTTACTTCAGAACTTTCGGAACTTTCAATATGATACAACTTTTCAGTTCCCAACAGGGAAATACAATGTGCTGCAAACCTTTTTTTCATAACATGTGCCATATGTCCCAGGGTATATACTTTGGTAAATGTACTGGTATTCTCCAATCTAATATATTACCAGAAAGAAACCAAAGGCAACCTCAAATGCAGAATTTGAGGAGTGGAATAAAATGATGATTTACATAGGTATAGGTGGGGCTTAGGGAAACTAACATGGGGGCAGTAATTCACCCTGAGACTTAGTCACAAGGGGACCTCTGCCTGTGCGAACAGGCAGAGGGACAGGGTGCCTGCTAGGACAGCACTCTGGAGCGGGACCAGCCAACCAAGGGAAACACAAGACTTCACTTCTCTCTGCTGCCAGTTTGCTGCTGCTGTTTCTCATTTGTTGACTCAGAAGAAAAGTCAGAGGGCAAGGACCCCTCTCAGAGTGACAGCACAATGGAGGAGAGTGGGGTGGGTCTAGCAGGGCAAACTCAGCACAGCCTGGCTTCATTCCTTCACAGCCATCACATCTGTGATTAAATGTAGTCAGCAGGACTCAGTTTCTCTTTTTGTCTCTCTTTCCTTTTTGGAATCCATTCTAAGATTGGCCGTTTTCAGTAGCAGGTCCAGGCTTGCATCATTCCTTGTTCACACTTCCAAATAACGAAGATGGCAAACACACACAGCGCTCACACTCTGGGTGCTCCTGAAAGGGCCCAGGTCACAGTTATGCCTCATAATCATCCAATACGATGACCACAGCTTAGATCAGCCTCTCTGAAGTATGAGCATCAGTTTTCTCTAGCCACCTGTGAGACGGGATTATTTTTCCCTCTCCTTTTGCTACTCTTTTTATGTTTAGTTGGTTTGCAGAACAAGTTAAATGGCAACAGATTTGGGCTTAGGAACTCCCAAATTTAGCCCAAAGAAATCCAGCTCTGGAGTACTTTCTGATGCTGCTGAAAGACCTTTATACACGATCAGTTATCCCCCATAATAATCCAACAAAGTAGCTATTATTACTGTTTACAAGTGCACAAACTGACACAGGCAGGTAAATGGAAAAGGTCCGTGTTAGATTCAGATGTCTAGCTCAGAGCCTGTGCGTGGAACCACTGGGTCGCACTGCCTTTTGAAAAATAACCTCATTCCCTACAGGAGCCAAAAGCTAATCCAAAGGACCCTGATGTTGTAAGGTCAGGGGCAGCCCATGATCAGTCAGTTTCTAGGATGTGCTGGGGCTCTGAGCGTGCCAAACTGGTCCTATGTACACGGCAGGAACATGACTACTAATCATGTAGTCATGTAATCATGTAGTCAATGTAATCAATCTTCCTCTAAATGAGATGCGAGAGGCAGGAAGTGTGGACATCACAGGCTGTGTGGACCAGAAAAAGGGCACCAGAAACTAGGGATCTTCTGGCCCTGCCTATGTGTTGTTCCTAACCTCAAGAAAAGTCACATAGTGATTTCAGTCTACGCAAAGATTCTGACCTCATCTACATCCAAAGGTGGTGGTGAGTAAAGCAGAAAAGATTCAAAGATCTCTACATAAATACCTAACTATAATTATATAACTATATAATTAACACACATTAAAATACACCATTAAAACTACGTGCAATTGAACATTTGTAACTGAAGCTGACATCTACCGGTTAAGCAAATTAAGCAGATAGCTCCAAAATAAGTTTTTTAATGAATGCTAGCCCTGAAACTTGCCCCAGATACAATACAACTTCCTTTTAAAAATATGAGGTAAAGCAAATTAAACTAGAATTTTTTCAAATGGTCTGGCAAGCATTACACACAATTATTTCCCACGAATAAACAAAAAGCACAAGTGTAAGTTTATTAATTTTGGCAGAATACAATGATAGGCAGCTTGTAAACAGCTAATGGGTAAGTTTGGTTGTTTGCTTGGTGCCAGAGTACTTGGCATTTTTTATCAACTGGTACATAAAAGAATAGAAAAATAGAAGATTGTCATATTGTCCTTTGTATTTCTCTTTTAAAATGTCAGTGTGGTAGTCTACCAGAAAGTAGTAAATGGCTTCAATTGTGGAGAGGAAAGTCTCCGGCTTTCCCTTCTGATGGCGCCAGAAGCAAGTTTTTCTTGTTTTCAGCTCAACTTGTAACAATCCTGCCAAAGAAAGAAAGAAAGGAAAAACATAAAAACTTCTTAGCCACAGAGTATGTAGAATAATATTGATTTGCTTTCATTATTTCAGCAATAGTTTTTTCAAAAGAAGTACGAATACATCCGCCCAATCCTAAATCCAAATGGGATATTATTTTAAATGCATTAAGGTATATACAAAAGCAACGCACGGCACAGAATGAAATCGTATCTGTGACAGTTACCGCTACATCTCAGCCCTCGTGGAAAAGGACTAAAAGTAGTTAACATTTTAAATATTCCCTTCTTTATATTTCCTATCTACCAGGGTCTTTTAAAATTGTAATTTGTGACAAGACTAAATTCACCAGTTTTTAAAAGGGTTTCCATGTCCTGACAATGGATTTGCAGCTGAAATGTCACACTGAGAGAGACTGGCAACCCACGGGTCCTTACTGTTAGTAAGAACATACTTGTACACCGCCGCCTTCAGGCTGAGTCCTCATGAGCAAAGTGCTGGCGACGTGGCCTCAGCTCTGCCCCTGACACCACACAGCCTCAGTTACACGCTCAGCTAGAAGGCCTCGCTCGAGTACACTGAAGAGCAAAGAACTAACGAAGCAGTGCTGGTATCTTTTACGGCTCAGACATCTGCACACAAGCCCAGAGGCTTTCCACTCCTTGGCGCAGGACTCTGTGACTCTCACCATTCTTCTTTGCCATTTACTTTAGAAAATTTTAAAGCAAGAAAAGCCAAGGACAGCATCAAAGGTGGCCCCCTGGCCAATCTGGAGCTCTGAGTCATCAACGATGTTCTACCACCATGTCTCACTTGTACTGAAAGCTACTTCACAAATGCAGCAGAAAGTGACAAGGAACAAACAAGAAATGTTAAGATATTAAGAGATATGAAAGATCCAATGTTTAATAGGAATCTGAGGGAAGAACAGAGAATGGTGCAAAGAAAGCATTCAAAGGGGCAACATCTATGACTTACCCAGGAATTGTTTGTAAAAATACAGACCCTTAGATACATGAGACACAATATATCTGAGGTAGAATGGATATAAAGAAGTAAGAGCCTTACCCATTGTAGTGTAACTGCAAAGCATCAAGGATAAAGAAGAGACTTTAAGAGTAGCCACTGAAAAGGGACGGATCATATACAAAGAACAAGTAAAATGACAGAAGACTTTTTATCAGCAACAGTAAATGCTGAAGAGCCTGGAAAATCTTCCAAGTGTCAAAAAATAACTAGCAATCTAAAATTGTGTACACAGCAGACATAACTTATCGAGGAAAAGAGTAAAGATATCAAGAGACCTACAAAAACTGGCTATGTGCCAACAAGAAACCCAACAAAAGGAATTCCTACAGGACATAATTCAGCAAAGACTGTGAAATAAAAGAATGTTGAACAAGGAAAATAGTAAGCAGCTCTGCAAACCCAAAAATATTACCTATATAAAACAAAAACAATAATATCTAACACAGTGTGTTAACTAGTTATTCTCTTATTATTGTGTTATGAAATTTTGTTTTGTTTTTTCATAAAAAAGTTAAAAATTAAAAATAATATCTAAATTCTGGGCTGATAATAAAGAATAGAACAAAATTAATGACTAGGACCAATAACCCTGTGGACCAGAAGTTGAAAAAACTAAGTGTACGAAGGTCTCACAGTGTTCAAAAGGACAGGTGAAAATATGTATGGTTTTGAAATTTTTTAGTAACATATGCACTATTCTCTAAAACAATCTAGCCAGAAAATTAAGAAATAAGAGAACCTCCATTCAATCAAAGAAAAAACAGGAAAAGAAAAACAGGAGAAATAGAAATAAAAATTAAAATGGTAAAAATAAATCCAAGTATATCAATACTCAAGCAAATATAAATAGAATGGCCATTTGAAAAACATCGAATTAAAACACAGAAAGGATGATTTCCATAGAATTTCCATTCAGTGTCACACTGGAGTTCCCAGTTAGTAAAGTAGCAAGAATAAAATTAGAGGCATAGAAAGTGGAAAGCCAGAAATATAGCTGGCATTATTTATACACAAGTGCAAAACAAGAAAAAATCTTAAACAGGGATGAGAAACATGGTCTCTTTAGCTTGGCAGAGATTTAAACAAGCTATAAAAACGGCTAACCATAAAGACTGACAAGTCCGACACTATAGCTTTCTCCTCGGAAGTCATCTTGGAGAAATCTAAGAGGCGTGAAGCATGCTCTCTGCCCTCTGCCTGATTGGGGGGGGGGGGCGCGATCAGCACTCTGCTGTCCGGGACAGACCTGGTCAGGACCTCTGGAACAAGTAGCAGCTCCACTTGACACACATAAAAGTCACAGTGGAGGCTCCTGGGCCCCGACAAGGGCTTTGCAGAGCTATGAAGAACTCGAGACTCCCACGTCCTCGTCTACCATCACTGTGAGCTCCAGGCAAGATGAGAAATGATCACAGACAGACAAATGGGAAATAGTGAGTTTCCTGTAGGTTTGGCCCCAGAAGTTAGTTTGCTTCTGTGATGATTCAGTCATCCTGGCAGTAAGGAAGTGTGGGCAATTGTTTCTGGCTGGCATATGCCACACTGAGCAGAATGGCATTTGTCAATGAGAGAAGAAGAGAAGTGGATATTACGAAGTGTTGTGTGCATTTCCTGCCACCTCATCTGTTAAGGGAAACACAGACAGGTAAGAAAATTCGTGAGTTCGGGGTAGAGCGGCAGCACTGAAGAGATTCCTGGAGTCTCTGAAGTTTTCAGAGGATTGCTATCTCCGTTTAAAGAGGCAAGGAAGGGGCACTACAGGCAAGGGAATATCCTATTCACAAGGGCATGAAAAATCATCCTGCATGCAAGACTAACATAGCTAAATACCTAGAATTACACAAAAGAGAGCGGGAGAAGCTACTGGGACACTGAAAGTCTGGTAGCCTTTGAATGTCATGCCTGGTAATTTGCTCTGGAGTTATTCATAGACACTTGGCATCATTAGAAGAATTTTGAACCTGGTTTTTGCATGATTAGGTTGTATTTAGGTCTCATGAAAAGAACTGGACTAGTACTTCCAAGCCCAGTTTGACCACTAACTACACAAAGGTGTTTTGTTTCGTTCTGCTTTAAAATCATTATCCACATGAAAGAAATTTATAACAGGATGAATGGACAAATCTCAAAGGCCCTTCTGCCTTTAAAATAGTTTACGTAGGTATTATGAAAACATTTCAATTTTTACAATCTTAAGTCAAAGACCAACAATTATTACAATCACCAAAACCAAAATCATGTCCTTTTATATACTTGTTAATTTCAACTAAAGGTAAAACTTTAAAACACTTAAAAATGTTCTTAGTAATTAGTTCAATTAAAAGCTTTGATTTCTCTTTATGATTTAGTCAATTTAATTTTATTTACAGCCTCTAAATACACAGAGATGTTGAAATATACTCTTTGACACAGAACTTGTGTTTCAATGAAAAAAGGGTTATTGGGCTACATTATTTACTTTTCTGGCTTAAATTAAAACTTTTTTCTCCAATTTTCTTTTAATTTACTTTTTAATTCCATGTGTCATACAAAAAATAAAAACAATATACACAGAGTAAAACTCTCTTTTGGTGATCTATTGGTCCTAATTGGATTCTGTTTCTCAACAGGGGGAATGATTAGCTGCTGCTATACCCTTTTTGCTAAAGATTTTTTAAAAAATTTGTATCTGATACAATTAAAATCTTAATATAGAATTTTGACATAAAATCCAAATGAAAACATAGCTATTATAATGTTTTGGCTTCTTGAATGTTACTATGTTCTTTTAAAATGATAAGTATAAAATGAAGAATTTAAACCAGGCATGGTGGTACAACACAACCCCAGTACTTTAGGAGGCTGAGGCAGGAGGATTACGGTTTGAGCCCAGCCTGGGTAACCTGATGGCTTGGGGAGCCCCTGTCCCAAAATTAAAAAGCAAAAACAAAGGTGTGGGATGTGTCTCAGTGTGAAACCCTCAGCTCTATTCCTAGTATCTCAGGGAAAAGGAAAGAGATGATTTAGTGACTATTAATACTAATCAAGTGTTTTTAAAATGTGTTTAATTTGCTTGGAAATATATAAGAACCATTAAAAATACTGAAATACAGACACTGGATATATAGAAAATTATTATTTTCACCAGTTCAACAAATATGTGTAAAAATTCTCTTGCTGGCATACCTAGTAATCAGTATCTTTTAAAGTACAGACTTACAAGTAGCTTTTTTCTCCAGTATTGCTGCCTGGATTTCTTTAATTGAAAAATAAGGAAATTCTAAGTGCACGCGCATGTGATTATTAGGAAGACTGAACAGTCAGATATCCTGACAGTGCAGGAAGGTCCTTCAGAGCCCCCTCTACCCAGGGGCTGGTGGCGGGCAGAGCCACACACACTGCACCCTGGGTCAGGCAGCGGTAGGGAGACAAGCGCAGTGCAGCTAAGCGAGGGTGTTCTGCAACGTGGGTGGATTGGATGTCTTTCCACGTGGGTAGGTTTAGCAAGATGCAGTGGAAGTCAGCATACCTGCCTCTGAGGCACAGAACTTAGAGAAACTTTGGTTGAAGCCCAAGTACCACTTTTGAGGGTGCATCAACATAGTCAAGATAAAGGGAAAAGAATTTCATAGCAAATTTGCAGAATACGGTCATTTTTAATCATTTGGAACCATCCCACAGAAGGAAGCCACTGGCTCTTAGCATCTCCCCAAACCTTCCTCTACATTTGCGGCTTTAGGCTGACCTTCGATGACTACACCGACACTCTGCTTCTGGGGTTGTATTTTGACACTAGTAAAAAACTTCAAGCTATTTTCTCTGTATGGTTTTATCAAAATAGTACAGATTTACATTGTTAAAGGGACTGTGAACCTCAGCACTGTAATAGAACCTCAGATACACAATTTCTAATGCAGTGCACTTGATAGTTTAAAATGAGGTTCAGAGTTAGTTTTTCAGCTTACCCTTCTCAAATGATAAATGTTTTAAAGCCTAAAGCAAATGATTTGCAATAAACATGGGTTGTTTTCTGGTGTAACTCAGTTTATATCCAGAAGTTTCTAATTCGTGTACACAGCAGTTACACACACACACACAAACTCTCTATTACTTCTTGGGTAATGAGGAGCCGGAGAGGCGGGGTCATGCAGAGAGGCTGTCACTAGAGCTAGTGCTGGGTCCAGGAGGGACTCAGGAACCTCTCTTAGAAACTGTGACCTGGTGCAGAGCTGAAATGCACAATTCCTATGTGAAGTTGGAAAGAGGGACAGAAGTCTGTACAAATCTGCTGCAGGCAAACAGACTTTCACGAGCGCCAAAATAATTCCTTTTTTAGTTTTTTCAAGGATTTTTCACTTTCATTTAATCTTTGCAATTACCATATAAGGTAGTAAAGAAGAAAAGTGGCCCATAAAAATCTCCAAATTGGGCAGTAACTGCTATAAACATTCAAGAGAATGTGTTAGGCAGGGCTCCCTTCCCCTCTGTCAAAGAACGGGACCTCAGGGATGCGTCTCTCTGTAAAACCGTCAACAGCAACAAAGCCTTAAAGGTCTGCCCTGTGCAGTGCACCTTCTCCCACCTCTCTCTCTCTCTCTCTCTCTCTCTCTCTCTCTCTCTGTTTCTCTCTCTCTCTCTCTCTCTCTCTCTCTCTCTCTCTCTCTCTGTCACACACACACACACACACACACACACACACACAACTGGGTTGCCAAGCAACCCTGCTAACACATAGGACATCTCAGAGGTCCAAACTCCATGACTTAAGCTACTGAAGTGCGGTGCTGTCACACAGTTTAGCTCAGGACCAAGTAACACAAATCAGACACCAGAAAGGCACGAACCGTCTTTTCTAGATGATGCTAGTTTCTAACAATAGCCTAAGAGAGATGGGACTCTTGGCAGCTGCTTAATATCAACCATGTGGCACTCTCTTGCCTTCTGATCATACCAAACAAAGCTATTGAACAGCTCAGGGGGAAAAGACAACTGAAGCTTTAGACGCACTTCTAAGGAAGTCTCCAGAACTGGAAGGCACAGGGAACAGAGGCAGTCGGGGCTCTTGCTCTTCAAATTACTATGTGTGTTGAACAGGAGAGTAACAACATTAAACCACTGCTCCTAGGAACTAAGCAGTTCCCTCTAAGAGACAGAGTATAAATTTAAAATGAAAGAAGATTCCTGCAATACTAAATCTGAAAAGGAGGATCCACTGAATTGATACATCTGTTCATTTTTCTTGGCTCCATCCACTGAAGCAATGACAATCCAAGCAGAGATGAAGTGACCATATCTTAATTTCTCATTTCCTCCTGAAAGGAACCACAGGTTTTTAGAAAAATGGTCAATTCCAAAAGTTCCAAGTGGATTTAAGATATTCTGTTATATTGTAGACACTGATGAAGCCATCCAGGAAGACTGTGAAGCATTCCCAGTGGCATTCATTTGAGACCACTTGAGCATCAAAAAGAGCATAACCATGGTAGATTACAGTACATTATTATTAAAAAAATAAGTGATTTCAAAAAGTGCATGCTGAGCAAATGGCAAAGAGCTGCAATCCTTTCTACATGGCAGACTGAGCTAAAAAGATCAAAATTTTAAGGTCAGCTTGGGTAACACAGTGAAAACTCAATTTTTTAAAAAAAGGAAAAAGTGTGGAGTGAAAGAGAACTACATAAGAACGCCAGCTAGTCAGGCATGGTGGTGTGGTGCCCATAGTGCCTCTTGGAAGGGGCACCATAAAACCAGCCTGGGCAACATGGCGAGACTGTCATGTGGAAGAAACAATATAAAACTTCCCATCTTTTAACTCTCAATGTAATTGATAAAAACCAGCATCACTGCATACTAAAAAGCTGTAGAAAATATCTTCTAAACCATTACATCACAGATTACTATGAAAAATAAGCCTTTACAGCAGAGATGTGACAGTCATCACTTCAGTGAATCAATTATCATAAGTATCAAAGCAACCTGTATTATATACCCCTTAGTTTTAATGCAAAATAAGTACACAACTTCTTATATGAATTGCTTAACCATACAATGATCAGTTACACAGATTCATTTCTGACAATTAAAGGGCATACTATCGATAATTATACCAAAATAGTAAGTAAAACTTGAAATGAATTTATTGTTACTTATAAAAATATACTGCTCAAGAATATGTAAACTGCACATAATGATAAGAAATTCAGACAACTGACCTGTCCCCTCACAAAATCTAAGTCATGGGGCAAAAAAAATAGAGAGGGAGGAAGCTGTCTTAAAGGAAAGTAACCAACAATACAGAATAATCAAATGAAATGTAAGGAGTTTAAATTATGCATGAAGGGTGAAAAAACTACAAGAGATATTTTTGGATCAATTACTGAAATTTGAATACAAACCGTATGTGAGATGATATTACGGAATGCTGTTAATTTTTCATAGAGTGATAATGGTACTGTATTAATCATGGAGGAGAATATTCTTATTTTTAAAAGATGCATACTGAAATATTTAAGGGTGAAATATTGCAGAGCCTGCGCTTTGAATGCTTCAATTAAAAAATATATGTATATAGAAATACATATATACACATAGACTACAGAAAGAAACAAATGCACAAACATTGACATTAAATGCAACTCTTTCAGTATCTGCAAGTTGGACATTGTTAAGAACAAAGCACACACATCTTCTCACCCTGAAGCCGCTCGTCACTGACTATCTTGTTGGTCTGGTTCCAGGTGCTGTCTATAAAGATTACTCTTTTCAGTGTTGCACCCTTGCATTTGCTGTCATTCAAATCACAGCGCTCCTGCTCTTCAGTTTTCTTGCGTTTAAAAGACGGTCTCTCAAGGTCATCAGTTTTGCCTTTATTTTGAATCCTTTTTTGCAGATGAAAAGAAATATCTTTTATTGAGACAGACTGAGGGCCAGGAAAAATAAGCGCGACCTAAAACAAAGAAATTCAGGTTAGCCATGTGCTACTGTGATTTTCACCATAGATCTAATTGACTTAGAACTTTAAGGAAAAAACACCCTGAATATCTGGGAAGTAAGCATTAGGTTGGTTCTATTATAGGCGGTTTTCCTACTCATATGGCAAAGTTTTTGGCTCTTCCTTAAATCAAAAAACTAACATTTTATAAAAAGGCAAGTACATGATACTTGCCATTACAGGTGGGAGGGTTACGGAGTACAGTACAGCTCTATTTAATCATTATAAATAGTATCAAGCAGAACAGGAAACACAAACGTATTCCTAGATCCAAAACTCAGGTATCATTTACAAACACAAGTTTCTAAATAAATTCAATATATATGTAGGAAGATAGAGGTATATGAGATAGGAAAGTAAAAATCTTACCAAGTTCCTTCTGGAACAAATGAATGTATTAATTTTTAATTTTGTTTCTATATTAACCACACCTAAAGACAGCTTGTGTGAAGCCTACAAGGTTTACAAGCTTCTTTAGAAGTACATAAGGCCTGAAATCTATTATATAATCATTTATCAGCAAGAAGACCAGGAATATCCCACTCATGTGACAATTTTGACTGTGTGAAAATCAATTAAGAGTGTAGAAATGAATAAGACATTTGGGCAGCCAAAAGAAATATTACAAAGGCTACTATGTGTTAATGCTTTCGATTTAAGGAGGATTTGCAAATCATTCTAACTTAGTCTTTATTTTCTTCTTATGGAGATGTTCCAACAACAACATTTCTAATTTGGTTGTCAGTCTGTACCAAATTAGACTATCTACTCATAATATAATAGAGGCAATAGAAAGGTGAGGGGGAAAAGAAAAAGCAGGCAGAGTAATACTGGCCTAGAATAAAATCCTGAAAAAATAAAGCAGGACAACTATTAAAACGTCACATAAGACTTAAGCATGTATGTGAGTTTAGGACCATTTGACCTTTGAAAATATCAATGAAAATGCATATTGATTAATGTTAATGAGCATAAAACCAGATATTAAGAAAAACATTAAATTATGTTCATGTAAATTCAGAGAGGAAATTGGGGTTAGAAATCTATTTTCATATTCAGTTTGAAAACTTGTAAAAAAATTTGCTTACTTCATGGTCCTTTTCTTCATATTCTGGAATGCAAGGGTACGTATAAATGTTTACAAACTCAGGTGCTAAGAGTTTCGCATGGATAGCCGTGCTTTTGCCATCTGTTTCGTTTGGATGTTTAATGATGTCAATCTTCAGAGGCAGCTAAAGTAAAAAAAAAAAAAAAAGGCAAATGAGTTTAATAAAAAGAGCTGTTTAAAGCTAAACAGCAAGCTCACAGTAAGTTCCTGTATAAAGTCACACTGCTCCAGATCAGAACATAAAGAACAGAAGTCCTAAAGCAAACCCACATTTCCTCCTCAGTATTGTTAATCATGTACTAGAACAATTATTTTCAACTTATTTAACATATAATCTGCTCTTAAAATAAAGTTCCAATGTTATTCTCATTCAGATTATATGGGTATTGAGTCCAAACCCTCATATCTCAGTATCGATGCCAAGAACATATTTTATAGTTCCTATAAACTCTAGGTTTGTTTATTTTACACTGTTGCAAAAGGAAATTCAAGTTTGACTTCAAAATTTAAGTTGAAATTCCATTCTATTCCCTTTCAGATCAGAAGTAGTACTAACCTTTGTTATGAATACTATGATTTTCAGCAGCACATTTTGACAACATAAATTAAATTACCAGTTAAAAACAGTCACAGAATAGGTCTAAGAGATATAATCTCAAATAACTCTCTTCAAAGTTATCTTGCCCAAATATTTCCCTTAAAGTTCATAATTTGTTAAGGATTACATAATGCATCTGTGCAAAAATGATACTCTCTTCAACCAGCTGAATTAGACTTTTCTGTTATTTCACTTGACTTGGCTTGGCTCTCTTTCTAATGCCCATACAAGTCCTACACTTGGCCGCGGTGCTGAGAATGAAAGCTGCGGGCCATCCCCACTGTGCAGAAGCAAAACACCCAAGGTGAGCTCTGCACTTCAGACCTTAGGGGACTCTGTTCTATGCGAGGTGCTCTCCTAACCTCCAGACCCCCATAGGACAATGAGGAGGCAGAGTTCTAGGCTTCACTGGAACCATGCAATGATTTTACCTTGGAATACAAAGCTGTGATTCTTGTGTTTAAAAGTACACATATACCAAGTACATGATCTAATATTCAAGTTTCAATGTATATTACATCTGTAAACCAGTCACAACAATTAAGACCACGATCTGCCACAACCAAGTCTCCTGCTCTCCTCCCTTTCGACTACCGCCCCTAGTCCTTGGATAATCAGCTGTCTCTTTAGATCAGCATGCATTTTCCTAAATTTTATGCAGAATCATTGATCACGTACTCTTCATCTGCCTTCTCTAACTTAGAATAATTATTTTGAGATTCATCCCTGTCATTAGCATCTAAGCTACTTTTACATCAGCAGTTGTTGGATACAACCAAGACCCTATTTCCTATTTTTTTCTTTCTAGACAGTTATGTGAGCACATTATGGTATAACTAATAAACTCTGGAAGGGCTCCTGCTCACAAATTAATACCTCAAATAATTTTCAATTATGGTTTTGAAGACTATCACCTCCTACCGTCTCCACTTAGGCCTAGTGATCATTTATAAATTGGAGCCAAAATAAATAAATAAGAGCCAACTGTTCAAATTGTCAAACCATCATCCAGCTGTAGAAAAATTTACCATGTAAGTAGGCAGTTCACAAGGTTTTTAAATTTATTTACGTCAATCTACCTCTGGCCGATACTCAGTCTCAGCTGACATCATATTCCCTCTCTCCCCAGGTCTCTGAGTACCAGGTCAGCATTATCTTATCCCAGGGAAAGTAGAAAAGAGAAAGAGAAAAAGAACAAAAACAGGTGGTGATAAGGTGTTCTATTACAAATAAAACTGACTTTCTTTTATAACTGAGTAGAGTTGAAAATTCCAAAAACTATCACCAACCAAAATCCTGGCTACTTTAGAAGACAAAATTTAAATCAAGAACACAGAACTGTTATTAATTAATTTTATAAATCATGCACTTAAGACTATTTATAAAAAAACACAATAAGAAGGGAAACTTTTATGGACTACAATCTATAAGTATAAAACAATTATGCAAAACTGTGACCCTGAATTCTCCAATTGAGTTGACCTGAGATTTCTGACACTATGAAACCACAGCACAGAAACAGAACAAATTAAGGAAAATGTGTTCCAGTTCACACATTTCACAGGAAGGTATCTTTTAAAGTGACAGAGTACAGAAGGCAGCTGAAGTGGAAGTAATGTTTTTTAGGGGGAGGTTATCAGGGATCAAACTCATGACCTTGCACTTGCTGGGCAGGCACTTATGCCACTGAGCTGAATCCCTGGCCCTGGAAGTGTTGTTTTTGAATATGTAAAGAATATCAATGGATCCTCTAATATTTATATTTTCTGCTACCGATTTACTACAAATCTTTCTGAGCAAATATACTAAAGTCCTATTGGCAGAGAGACTCAAGCTTTTTCTTTGTTATTATCATCTTTCTAAAAACACAGAAAAGAAAGCCTTATAAAGTAATCTTTTAAGACTCTAATAAAATTGAATTTTTGTATCATTTAATTCTTTTTTTGTTTTTTGTTTTTTGTACCAGGGAAAGAATTCACAACCTTGAGCTTGCAAGACAGGCACTTTTGCTGCTAAATCCCCAGCATTGTACCATTTAATTCTTTTCTCTCCTTTTTGAACAACCCTAAGAGCACTATTTATCTTTTTAACTGCATTTTTATTGATTTAAGAAATTTATACTCCTCGTTAAAATATAAGTATGAATTTATTCTCTAAACCAAAATTTAAAGTTTGGGGGACTTATTCATTATGTCCTGCCTTCCCAAGTGGGCTGTACAAAGGCAAATGCTGGATAACTTGTTAAAAACAAGCCAGTACTCAGAAGGTTCAGGCAAAATGATCAGAGATTCACGCTCCACCTGGACAACTTAGTGAGAAGTTGTCTCAAAATTCAAAAATTTTAAAAGTCTGGTGATGCAGCTCAGTTCAAAGGTCCTGGGTTCAATCCCCAGTACCACAAACACACATATGTAGTAGCAATTAGAAAGAACATTTTATAGTTTTATTACTATTAAGGTATGTTAATATAACAAATTTTATTCATGACCATTAAAATACTGTAGAAAACTCTACACAATCCAGACCACTTAGAAGTGATCATATAATCGGCATAGTATTTTGAATCATTTCTATCAAATGGTGGACTTCGGCCTGCTGACTTGGGAGAATAACATACTCTATGAAAATATCAGCCCTACAAATATATCACTGGCTTTTATTTTTTCTGATCTGAAATCCTTTCTGAACACAACACCTCTGCAGATAAAATTTTAATCAAATGTTTTCTTTATGTGCCTTTGGTATAGGCAGAAGATAGAATAATTCTGTGTATAGTCAAAAATCATAAAGTGTAACTAACCCATTCCCATAAGATAATGGGAAATTTAAAAAAGTTATTAACCTCGAGCTCTCAGTTTTTCTGAGAAAACTGTGAAGGTATTTTCCTATTCTTGGCCAGCAAACTTTCCATTCTTCCTCATGTGTGATTTTAGATTCCTGAGAAGACCACAGCTTTGCGAAGATGACACATAGGTTAAACTAAAATTCAAGTTGCAAAATGAGTGAAAAGTGCTTTTCATATTTCAAATTAAATCGTGAAAGCACAATAACTATTTTGGAATACAGTTGCAATTTACTTCCTCACTGGCAAGTCCTAAAGAGACCATGTACAAAATACTGTCTCTCTAAAGTCCCAACAGATGTCAATCACCTTTTATATGTTATTTGATTTACTAACATTTGGGTCAGTGCTAGACAAGTTAAGACTTTATGCAATAAATTCTCTGATTATGTAAACATAATAATCCATCTATACAAAAATAGTCTTGGAAAGCACCAAATGTGTAACAGTGAGCAATCAATTCAAATCAACTTTTAAATCTGCCTTAAAATCCCTATAACACAGCGCAAAAAATAGGCTTTGCGCCTTCATATTTTAGTTTAGTCGAGCTTGAGTCATTGTCATCTGCTCCCTTTTTACACGTAGCACGGGGCTAAGTCACAAAAACCTAGCTGAAAATGAGAACTAGTTAGAGGAGGGCAGTGTTTTCTCAAGGGCAGCACAACAACCAGGGGCAGTTTTTGAAACTTCAAGTAAGCTTCTGAATTTGACTTACCTATATTCATGTTTACATCATACTTCCCACCCCCCCAAATTGTAAGTAATAACTACTCATTTAATTTCATTAAAAATACCAACCATTTCAGATTCAAGCATTTTTCCAGACACAAAAAAGTAGGTTTAGAAACCTGGAGGGGTGAATTTTTTACTAAGACAACCCATTTGCCTAGTGACACTATTTATAGAGTTTATCAATTATATTAGAACACGGAAGTATGAGACATCTATTCTCCTACTTTCGAACAAGTTCCTTACTGACCTTCACAAGAGGAATCTGTCCGCCTGGTACATTTTCAACGGGGACGTAACACGTGTAACAGTAAAACATCCTTGAGCCACCACACTTGACACATCTTGACCTCCCACTTCGTTGAGCTTTTTGAAGAATTTCTTGAGATGCTAAGCACAAGTTTTGAAGGGGATCTTCTGAAGTGATGAGGGTAGTCTGTGACTGCTTTGTTTCCACACATTTTGCACTGTTTTCTTCACTTTCTTTAAGAAATACAGATGGACTGACAGACATTCTTCTTGCAAGTCACAGTTTAAGATCTATTTCTAAAACACATAACATAGGTGCACTGTTTAAAAAAAAAGAAGCAGGAGCAAAATAAGAACAGGAAAAAATTACTCATTGTCTCTAAGAGAAAATTACTCACTTTCATTTAAATCTATGTGCTAGTCTTAGAACTATTAACAAAACCAGTGAGTTTGAAAACCACCAAATAGGCACGCCTTAAAAATATGAAGTCAAGAAGCAATCAACTAAAAAACAAAAACAAAACAAAACAAAAAACTACAGGTATCCTTTTGGACCATTGCTTCCATAAAAAGGTAAATACGAGTTTAGAAAAATTACTTCTAATATAAAGTTTAGGTACTGACAATCCATTTTTCTAATACCTTTTTTTTGTTCTAGAGATGGCAATTACATTTTATAAATACTAGGAATTCAATGACTGTATGTCAGTGTCAGGCAGAAATATATTTAACTCTGTGGACTCTAACTGTGAATTAACATCACAGGGCTGGACACTAAATCTCATGGTGAACTCCAATGAAATTACAAGGCTGCAGGAGTAACAATAAAAGTGATATATACTATGATATGCAACTCCCTCCCTGAGGCAGGTTCTACAAATTCTAATTTTAAATTCTTCCATTAACTTTGCCCATCCCTACTTCAGAAAGGCTCAGCCCCTAGTCAGGAGGAATGAATGTTCAAGAATCTAACAAACAGGCCTTGCTGAGATTTGCCATCCAGGCAACTAGCAATTGTGTCTATCTCAAAGCCAGAGGTTAGGGAGCTTCTGGACAGCTGAACACAGAGAGGCTCGCAGAAAGGCAAACAGGGCCAGGTGACAGGTGGGGAGCATACCCCAACTCCACAGAGATGAAGTCCCTGCACAGGGAAACTTCCAGACTTTTCCCTCTATATCTCTTCATCTGGCTGTGTACCTGTGTCCTCCAAACACAAGTACAGACTCTCCCTGGATTCTGGGAGCTCCTCTAGCAAATAACTGAATCTGAGGAGGGGACTACGGAAAGCCCACTCTCTGGAGGTCCTGACTCAGAACTGGATCTGAAGTGGAGCTGTCTTGAGGTGTAAACCCTCGACTGTAGGCTGTGACACTATCTCCAGCTACCGTCAGAGCTGCATTAAATTAAGGACTCCCAACTGGCATCCACTGCAGAACTGCTTGCATGCTGGTGAGAAGAAATCCATAAAGCGTTTGAGGTTAGTTTTCCATGTTGACTGTGGTATGAGAGCAGAGAAAAAATAAGATATTTTGCTTTTCCTAACACAAATATGTTTTAAAATACATATTCTTCTCCAACTTAAAACATACCACTAAAAAAATGAGGCATCTACTACCAATTATAATTTGTAAAGTATCCCACAATGTGAAGTACGTGATCTTAGAAGTTTTCAATTTTTACAGAGAGACATTCAAACAACGTATAATGCTTTTTAAAAATACATTACACCATTCAAATTTTTTAGTACTAGAAATAATAAAATAACATTCCTGCTTAATATTGTCTTCAAAGAAGGGTGATGGCTGCCAAAACCATAACTTGCATGCCCTAGATGCAAGATATCTTCCAAGACAGAAAAGAGACTGAGGCTCTATTGATTTGACACGCATTCCACAGCTGTAAAATGATTCTCTTACTACAGGGCTTACAGTATTGTGGGGTGTATGAAGTCTCTGAGTACAGACACTAACAGGAGAAAGGCTATGACTCTAACCGGAAATCTTTTGTGGTCTTCCAAACAAAAGTGAGCAAAAAGTTCAGACAGACATAAAACACAATTTGCTAAGTTTGTGATGCTAACTTAATTATTCAAGAGTTGTTTTGTTTTGTTTCGTTTCGGATTGTAAATCTCAGTAAATTTGAGACTCAAATGAAGAAATGTAAAGAAAAGAATGTTTACTCAAGAAGAAAACCAAAATACAACAGTAAGTATTTTTGTTGCAGAGTGATCAGGCACAGATTTACATCTGAGGTGGTTCAAAGAGAGTAGTATTTGAAACTGATGGTCCAGTCCCTTTTCGGCCTCAAAAACGAAAAATATTATTTACTTCAGACTGTTACTCTGAGTCTTGTCAGCATGCCCTTAGGGCCCAGGAGAGTGCAAGATATTGAGCTGCCTCCTTTTCTTGGAGTCTCAGAAGCCTTTGGGGAAAACATGAAAATCTTGTAGAAAACCCCTAGAAAATGCATATAGCAGAACCATATTTTCTACACAACTGTAGGTGTTTTAGCAAAATCCAGTTACAGATCCAAGAAAAGACATCCTGACTAAGATAAAACATTCCCTGCAAGGACAGGAGTCACCCTAAAAGTTGGGGAAGAAGGCAAGCATGGTGGCTATAACCCCAGCTTTCTGGGAGGCTGAGGCAAGATAAATAAGTTTGAGATGAGTCTCAGCAAAATACTGTCTCAAACTAAAAAGAATGCTGAATGTGAAGTTTAGCGTGAAGGCCTTAGGTTCAACCTTGAGCTCCAAAAAAAGTTTGGGACAAGCTTCTGTTATAGCAATAGCTGATGGACAAAGTGTCAGCTATGACAAACCAACAAAGTCCAGCACTTAGGAAGCTAATTATGTTTCATCTACACTTGATTCAGACTGTTCTTGTGTTACCTCTGGTTCCTCCTGAGAACTACTTTAAAGCTGTAATAGTTCTGAGTTATTCAGAGCATGGGACTTATCCTAAAAAGGACTAGACTAATTCAGTATGACTTCACTTCCCTGAGTATTTTAGCAGCTACATGCATGTGGAACCAATGGGTCTAGGCACAGGGGGGCTGAAGAATGCATTTCCTGTGGATGCTATCAAAGTCAATGTGATGCCCTGATAGTCAACTAACTACGTGCTGAGTTTTTGGAAACAGAGCACACGAAGTGCACTGTCTTTTGAGATGTCTCAAGAAATACAACACTGAATTTCGCAGGTCTTTTACTCACATTAACTAAACACAGACAGGAAGCCTTCCTCTGCAAAATCAAATGAAACAAACGCCTGCGAGAAGACAAAGGAAATGTCCAACTCGCTATTCACGTATCCACTCTGACCTAGGCAGAGGTGGCTACTGAAGAGGCCAGCAAATCATGGTCAGCTCCCTGCAAAAGTCTGTAATCTTGAGCAGGGAATGTGCCTTGACCTAGCTAATACCTTGCCTCAAATGTACACAAGGAATTTATTGCAAATGTGGCCACTCAAAACCTTCAAACTGTACCTGTTAACAATGAGTATGTGTTGGGGAATATAACTAAAGTTGTAGGGGCTAAAAAGACTTAGAAAACATCATGGCTGTTACTGAGGAACAAATAGTTTTAGCACCTCAGTGGTACAACCATCATTCTAAAATTTAGGCTGAAAAACTCCTTCTAGCAGTTTTCAAACAAAACAAAACAAAAACTAATTACACTCACGAAGTTACATCATTTCTACCTTGCACACGAACTTCTATTTCCAGACCCAAAGTCAGGACTGATTCACTTCTTTGATAGCTCATAAGTGAGCCAGGGTAATCTCTTCTGTTTCTTCTCCTCTGAGTGAATACTGGTTCTACACATTTGACCTGGAAAGACGAACTTGGTATAAAGGAAATTTTCAATCCTAGAACTCTTTCTTGATCTTACATAGTCCTGATTCTTGTGAAATAGAAGTAATTTTACAAATATTTCCTAAGTAAACAAAGCCATTCTGCAAAGTCATACAGTAAACACAGTGCTACAGGTGTACCTCACAAACTATCTCTATGGGTCATCTACAGCCTGGCACAACTGCCAGCCTAGTCACTTGTTTTCCTCTGTGAAACAATAAAGGAAAAGACTCCTAGCTTTTCCATCATAGTAAGTTAACCAGGTTCCACACTATGGAACCTGGTAAAATCTCCCTATCCTGTATTGTGAACCAATTCAGTGCTACTTAAAACCTACTTCAAATTTCCTTCTGGAATATTTTAAAATTTTTACTAGTACATGTTTACAGCACATAGTACTTGAAGCCATTTTTAGGGAGTAGGTATATATATTTAATATATGTTAATTCTCCTTCCCCCATATGTGGATCCTCTTTCCGTTGCCAAAAGATCTATCTTCCTGTTTCCTATTGGCTATCTTAAGAACTGGTCGTCTAATATACACAAATCCAACATTCGCTTTTTTAAAAAAGTGGAAGAAACCAATGCTTTTCACACTGGACTGACAGTTCTGCACACAGCACCCACCACGGAGTGGGCACTGTCTGGTCTGTTTTCCATGGTGCCCAAACAGTCCTTCAGGTTGCGATCTCAAGTACCGATTTTTACCGTCCAGCCCGGGGCACTGGCACCTGGAAGTGTTAATGCGCGTCACTCGGTGTTGTCCCCAAGGACACTGGACCGCGTCCCGCCCCGCCCGGACAGACCTCCCGCGCACCGCCCCGGGAGGCCTGCAAAGGCTGGAAAGGATGCGGTTTCTGGGGCCTGACTTGGAAGGACAGGTTTTCCTGGGGTGCAAAGCTCGAAAATCACTGTTTGGGGAGTGGGTGAGGAGAAATTAGGGCGCCTTCTCCTCACAGGGCCCTCCACGTTGGACGAGCGCAATCGCCCGCGCAGACAACAGGGTCCCGTTCTAGGGGACACCGGCGCGATCTCCGCTGGGGTCCTGACACGCGAAGGTCTCTGCCCTGGCCACGGCCCCCGCCGGACCCCGGCCTCAGCCCCGGGGACCCGGAGGGACTCAGACCTGCACAGTCCGCTAGCCCGCGCGGCTCCACACGTCCTCAGCTCCACCCGGCCCCGGCGCGCGCCGGACAGAACGGCGACGGACCGGCGGAGCGCTTTCTGGGAGACACCGGTGGGCGGGACCAGGCCGTTGCTAGGTCCGTTGCTGGGGCAGTTGCCGGGGCGGCACTGCGCAGGCGCCGCAGGGAAGGCGGCGATCCGGGACGGCGGCGGGGCGGAGCGAGAAGGCAGTGGTTGGAGTCTCCAGGTTCCAGGCTCCCGCACGGGCTGAGGTGGCGTCGCGGCGCCTCACTGCCTGCAGCCTAAAGTTGAGCGCCCGGCGACTGCGAGGAAGTTCCAGATACCTTGCCAGGCATAGCTGCAGTGAGTTGTGAAACCGTGCCGACCTCCAGAACAGCGTTGTACTAGGGCACCAGACGTTTTAGGCGCGTGAAGTTGGTTCGGTCCTTTTGTGGTGGGCTGTTCCTTTTTTTGGTTTTGAGACAGGGTCTCACTAAGCAGTACAGCACATCCAGATAAAACCTATAAGGATGGAAAGTGTGAAATAAAACTGTCAACTGGAAGACAAATGGTTTTATTTGCAGAAATCCAAAAGTGTCTGCATACTACAGTAAAATTAATCTGTGCATTGGTAAAATTTTATATAAAAATTCAACATTTAAAAGTAAATTTGATAACCAACACTGCCAGACTTCAAGATCTAACATTAAGCAACAGTAATCAAGCCTGTGTAATGTTCACAAGAGAATAGAAACCCCAGCCAAGAATGAGCACAAGAGATAAGGTCACTGCATACTTGTTAGGGGAAAACTTCAAGAGGAAGAGAGAACAATCATAAATATATATGCACCAAACACCAGAGCCCCCAACTGTATAATATAAATGAAGTTAATAGATATCAAAACTCAAATAGTAAGACAGTTGTAATGAAGGACCTTCATATCCCATTGTCACAAATAGATAAGTCAGACAAAAAGTCAACAAAGAAAGAACTGAGCCAAATCTGTGAACAAATGAACTTAGTAGATGTTTATGAGTGTTTCACCCAACAGCATCAGAATACACATTCTTCTCAGCTGCACATGGGGCATTCTTTAAAATAGACCATATACTAGTCCACAGAACATGCAAAAAGAAATGCAAAGGAATTGAAATTATTCAGTGTACATTACCTGAACATAGTTCAGTGAAATTAGAAATCAGTGACCAAAGAAACCACAAAAACTCAAAAGAAATGGGAATTAAATAGTACCTTTCTGAAGAAACAATCACAATTGAAATTTTTAAAAAAAAACAAGATCTACAATTAAACTAACATGCAGATACAATATAGTGGAATCTGAGGGACACAATGAAAGCAGTCCTTTGAGGGAAATTTACTGTGATGAGTTCTCACATCAGGAAAACAGCACAAGTGTAAATAACCTAATGTTGTACCTCAGGCTTGTAGGAAAAAAAAAAGCAAATCAAGCCCAAAGTCCATACAAGGGTGGAAATTAGAAAGATTGGCACAAGAACTAATGAAATTGAGACTAAGAAAGCAATACAAAGAATCAATTAATTGAAGAGTTGCCTCTTTCAAAGATTAAATAAAACTGATGAACCCTTAGCTGACTTCATCAAAAAAGGAAAGAAAAACCTCAAAAGTCATTCAATGAGGAACGAAAACGGTGGAATCACTACAATCCTATGGAAATCCAGAAAATGATCAACACGAGAATCTTTAATAGGATGGCAAATACAGAAGAAATGGGCAAATTCCTAGATATGTATGAGTTACTGAAGTTGAATCAAGAAGTTATAAAAGTTCTGAATACCCTAATATCAGTTAATGAAATTGACAGTATAATTAAAAATGTACTAACAAAGAAAAGCCTGGGTCCTGATAGATTCATTGCTGAATTCTACAAGAAAGTTAGCAAATTTCCAATTGGGTGTTGGACTTTGTCAAGAGCTTTTTGTGCATCTATTGAGATAACCATGCAATTTTTGTCTTTGGCTCTGTTCAGATGGTATATTGCATATTTCAGGAGATCAAAGAGGAAGGATATCAGAAAATGGAAAGATACCTCTTGATCATGCATAAGAAAAACCCACATAGTGAAAATGGCCATACTCCCAAACTGTTATACAGATTTAATGTAATCCCGATCAAAATACTATTAGTATACCTGGAAGAACTAGAGAAAACTCCTAAAATTCATTTGTAAACAGAAGAGAACTAGAATAACCAAAGCAATTTTGGACAACAAAGGCAAGGCAAGAGGCATCATAATTCCTGACTTAAAATTTTACTACAAAGCTACTGTGAAAAGATCAACATGGTACTTGTAAACAAAACAAAACAAAACAAAACACAGACCTGTGGATCATTGAAACAGATTGGAAGTTGTATACACAACTGGAAACACACTCAGCCACCTTATTGTTGATGAAGGAGCCAGACATGATCACTGGAAGAAAGATGATAGCCTTTTTAATAAATGGTGCTGGAAAAACTGGCTTTCTACATGCCAAAGACTAAAACTAGACCCATGTCTATCACCATGCACTAAACTAAATTCAAAATGGATCAAAGATCTAAATATTAAAACAGAAGCACTAAATCTACTGGAAGAGACAATAGGTAGAAATCTTGAAGGCATTGTTGAGGGCAGAGTTCATGAACAAAACCCAGGAAATACTTCAAAGAATTGACAACCAGAATCTCATTAAAAAGCTTCTGTTCACTAAAAGAAATTATCAACAGAGTGAAAAGACAACCCACAGAATTGGAAAAAATTTTAACCACTTGTCCCTCAGACAAAGAATTTATATCTACAACATATAAACAGTTGAAAAAATAGAACTTCAAAATTTAAAGACTCAACCCAAAAATAGGCATCTGAGATGACTAGCGGTTTTCAAAGGAAGAAATACAAATGGCAAGTAAATGTATGAAAAAATGTTTAACATCATTTGTCATTGGAGGATGCAAATTAAAACAATACTGAGATTCTATCTCACTCCAGAAAGCATGGCTATCATCAAGAAGCCAACCAATAACAAATGCTGGCAAGACTGTGGGAGAAAAGAGCACTTCTCCACTGTCACTTGGAGAATAGACTGGTGCAACCACTATGGAAATCAGTATGAAAATTCCTCAAGAAGCTAGGATTAAAGGTCCCATTTGATATAGTTATTCTTCTTAGTATCTTCCCGAAGAATTAAAAACATCATATCACAATGACACATGTGCACCTGTGTTTATAGAAGCACAATTTGTAATAGCTAAATCTTGGAAACAACCCAAATGCCCATCAATCAAGAAATAGATTAAAAAAAAAAAAAGATGTGGTCTTTTTATACTGTGGAGCACTACTCAGCCATAAAGAATGATAAACTTGAGATTGTTATAGATAAGTGGCTGCAACTTGAGACCATACTCATAAGTAAAATAAATCAGATTCACAGCTGGATGTGGCAGTTGCACACCTGTAATCCTAGCCCCCAGGAAGCTGAGGCAGGAGGACTGTTACAAGTTCAAGACCAGCCCAAGCTACAAAGTGAACTGAAGACCATCCTGAACTGCATAGCGAGACTCTGTCTTAAAAAGACAAAAAAAAGTCAGACTTACATATGTAAACATTATATTGTCTTCCTGGGGTGAGGAAATGAAAGAGTTAAATAAGGTCTAAAGTGTGCAATAGGTATTGTGATATGGGAAGAAAATGTTCAAAAGGAAAGAGAAACTAGGATGGGGGAAAGGAGAAAGGAAGAAAGGGAAAGGAAAAAATACAAATTCATAATACTGTTAGTATCTCTTGGTTCATTGAAAAGGAAGATTTGTGCTAATATTGATTGGAGAATTTCTTATGCCCTTATTTTGTACTCTGAGTGACTACTTTAAAAGTAGTAATAAGCCATGTATTAGCTACTGTTGTTCTCCTATTACTTTGTTATGAAATTTTGTTTTACTTTTTTCCATAAAATAAAATTTAGAAAAATGAACCGAAGAATAGAAACCCCAAAATAGACCCACATGAATATAGTCAACTGATCTTTTGCAAAGATGCAAAGAACTAACAAAAACATGACAAATATGATGGGAATAGCTCTGGTACTTTTAAAACTTGGAAATGTGGTCCAGATTTTACATAAAAACATGCACATGAATGAAACAGAAGATTGGTTGCTGTCATTGTTTAAAGAACCAAATTGAGCAGGGTGCCTATAATCCAGCCGAACGATCAAAAATCTCAGCCTCATTAACTGCTGAAAGCCAGTGATACGGAGAATTTTTGAAAGCAGGATAAAACGAAAAAGGAAGTATTCCTTTTTCTCTATTTTCTGCAAAAGTACATGTAGGGTTGGCCTGATTTTTTTTCTTAAAATGTTCATTGAACTTACTAGTAAAGCCATTTGGACTTGGAATTTGTTTCATGAGATTTTTTTCATTATAAATGCAATTTTTAAATTAATATGGTACCGTCACATGTTGCTTAATTATGAGAAACGTTATCACTGGGCTACTTTGTCATGCTGACATTAGCCTGTACTTAAACACAGATGGTATAGTGTGGCCCCACAGGACAGCGCTGTATGTGTTAAGCTTCTACGACTGGTAGCACTTTAGGGTTCCTTACAAGGGCATTACCACATGCATGGGCAGTGCATTCGGTTACAATGTTCCAACATTTGCAGTGTCACTAATTGTAAAAAGTTTTGTATTCCCCTATACTCTTATGTACCACCATTGTATATGAGGTCCTCTATTAACCAAAACATCATACACAGCATGTGGCTGTCTTTGTCTTAGGCAGGTAACTAAGGGGAAAAAAATGTGTCCAAAAAACACTTGTATGCCATTTTCATAGCAGCTAATTTTCCTAACAGCACAACTCAAATCTCGAAGCAAACCAAATGTATTCAGGGAGAGGCAGAGAGAGAGAGAGAGAGAGAGAGAGAGAGAGAGAGACAGACAGAGACAGCTGCACAGCAGTAATACACAATTAACCAATAAGTGCAAAATCTTAGATGATTTTCAAAGTTCTGTGTTGATCTGTGTTCAGAACTAAGTTCTGCATTGATTAAAAAGGAGTGAGGCACAAAACACCATAATTTATAATTCAGTTCACATGAAATTCTAGAAGAGGACAAACTATAACAAACTAGTCTGTAGTTACTGAAAACAGCTAAGTTTGTCAGTGCCAGGACAGATGCGCTTGTAAAGAGTAGGTATGCTTTGAAGTAGCATAAGAGAACATTTTGGGGTAATCTAAAAGTTACACTTTTTAACTGTAAAGCTATGTAAAGGCTACATAGCTCTACACATTGGTTGAACTTCTTTGTCAAATAATAATGGTAATTTACTTAGTAAATTA